TATCAATATCATTGGCAAGAATCACTGTTGAAAGTTCATCGAGTTTGTTATTAGCTGATCGTGCATTACACAACATAACTGATGGTAGATGGGTCTTTGTAGACACCTTAGGAGTGCTAGGGATAGGTACAAGGGATCGACGATCACATGACCGGTGCTGAGCTATTGTCTTATTGCTTGTTCGAGCATAGTTGATAATTGCTGGGATTGGATGGCGAAAATGTTTGGTTTTTGCGCACACCAGCTCGGCAGCCACGGTGGTTCGGTGGTTTACGCCGTATTCCCAATTGTTTGATTGTTTCCCATGAATAGGCAGGAATTGTTAAGTTCGGTAATGAACTGAGAGCGTGAAGATAATCCCGATTATAGCGATATTCACTGTGTGTTTGGTTGGAATGATTCCCTGGTGTTGATTCTAACGATGGTCCGGGGTTTAGTTCGATATCACCACAGCGGATGATTGGTAGTCTAAAGGTGGCACATGAGTTGGGGTAATACGTGCGGGGGGACTTCAGATAACCCCTACAAAATGTCACTTTGTGAGTTTGTCGCCTTCCTATGCCAATCGTGTAAGGGCTGGCATTTTGCTCATTTAATGTTAGGCAAAAGATATAATGCACACAATTTTGCAAGAAATGTGTGACGTCATGATGATGTCGATTTTTTTTTTTACACATATGAGGGAATGTCCAGTCATCACGAATCTTGGTGGGTGGGTAGATAATAGTACTAGTACAAACAATCTGTATTGACGTCATGTTGACGTCATCGGTCAATTTTTCACGATCTGCTTACTAAATTTAGCACTTTTATTTATCCGACTGGCTTCAAACTGGTACAGACTAAAACCACAATAAAATAATGAGCACAGACAGTTGTCTTTCCTTTATTAGTATAAATACGAAATCAGAAGCCATGATGATGTCATGATGGGCCGCAGTGCATCATCTTAAACGTGTACAGTCTTCAAGTCCTATATCTAAATGACAGCGCATGACTAAAACAACAACAGCGCATAAAATAATAATGATAATGCATTTGAATAATGATAATGCAATAAAATGATAATGCATTTAAAACAGAAAAACATATCCTCAATTCAAAAAACATAATGCAGAAAGCCCTTTGTTTTGTTGCAAACAGACATAGACTTCTAGTTTTCTTTATTGGCTTTTTCGCAAGTTGCGAAAAAGCTTTTCTTTTTATTCAGATTTTTTGGCTTTTCCGCTGAACAGCGGAAAAGCCTTTGTTTTTGTTCTGACTTTTTTTTTCTTCTTTTTGATCTTTTGGGTCCACCCCAAATCCCATTGACTTTGTACACGTTTTTGAAAAATTATGTGACGTGATGATTCAAAACGCGATATTTTAAAACACATATAAGAAAGGTCCGATCGTCATGAAACTTGGTGGGTAGGTAGATAAGTGTACTAGTATGCAAAGTCCGAAGTGACGTCACGGTGACGTCATCGTTTGATTTTTTCATGATGTTTTTATATTTATAATTTTATTCTGTTCCCAAAATTGCACACTTCTTTTCATCGGATTGACTTTAAACTTGGTTCAAACCAAGAACACAATGACAAAATGTGAATTGACAAGTGTTGTCATGATGACGTCACTGCAGGGCATGTGGCGTCATGTGATAAAATTATATTTTTAGGAATTATTCTAAGCATTTTGAACAACCTTGAAGCACTCTGTGACTGCAAAAGGACCAGCAAAATATAAACATTTGTAAAATGCGAAAAAGCCTTGTGTTCTGTTTTCAAACAGACATACAGCTCTAATTTTTGTTTTTCTTCTTTTTTGGCCATTCCCCATAGCATTTGTACACGTTTTCACAGTGGAACGCACTTTGGACACTAAAATCAATCCGATTGACTTTATACTCGGCACACACTTAGACCAGCATTTGAAGATGTGTTCCGAACATTGACGTCATCATGACGTCATTACGTGACCCGTGACGTCACAATATAGGTGCATAACCCCGCTGCTTAGCAAATTGATGTGCTATGCAAAACTGCCATAAGCGCTAAATCAGGGAAAGGCCACACTTGCAAAGTAAGCGGATAGTAAGGAGAAAGTATCGCATGGCAAATTTTATGTGCTAATTAAAAATTGGCAGAAAAACAGTCACATACTTTTTGCTGGTAACCATTCCCCCCTTTATGTGATTCATGTGTTGTGCTTAGCACCCCTATGACATTCAGCCAATGAGGAACTTGGCTATGTTTGCACGAGCGACTTGTGAAACCTGTGAAAGTTTCTGACCATACAAATGTGCAAGTATACAGTTGAGCAAAACAGACTTCACTTTAAAGAATCATCCCTCCGAGGAGTGTTTTAAGCTTTTGGCATTTGTTGTGACCTTTGACGATTTTTTTTTAGTTGTCCTGTTCTTCATCCCATGTAATCGTTGAACGAAAATTAATTACCTTGAAGGTTAAGCCGAGCCCTGGCGGGTACGAAACCGGCCGAGTTTTCCCAAATTGACGACGCTGTGATGCTTGCATCTGGGATGCGACCGTCTTCCATCCCGAAGGGTCCTACCTCAGAGCACTCCAAATAATCTGTCGGAGGTAGTGGGGAAAAAATTATCAGGATGGGGCGGGGTTCATTAAATAAATCGCAATAATTTTTGTATGGACATCACGGCCGGGCGCGGATTCCGCCTTCGCCTGATCTTGGAAATGTGTTTTACAACTTGGAAGATTTTTTTTGTACATTGACGTTGCCGCTCAATGAGACGGTGTTTCAGGTAGTGATCAACATGTTACTCTTGTCCGTCTGTGAATGGAGCTTGTTTTTTTTTTTTTGGACACCATTCAGAGAATAAAGCCTCTGTTTGTGTTCTGGTTTCCTTTTAGTTGTTTGGACAAGTAACCTAAAACAGCTACTGTTTTCGTTAAGATTTGCTTTGGCTTTTCAGAACAACATCCAAAGAAGTGTTTGTTTTTCTTCTGAGAATGTTGTCACTTACGTCTTAATCAAACTTAGCATAAATCAAACTTAGCATAAGTTATCCTAATTAGTCCAAAGAAGGTCCGCAAAGCGTGACGTCAGATGACGTCATCTTAGGTCATGTTAAGGTGCATACTTTGAAGTCTTATATCTAGAGAACTACAGTCTCTTTTTACTGAAGTGGCACATAAAAGCGTAAATGCGCATATGAATATGCCCAGTGGCATAGCCAGGATTTTTTTCAGTGTGTGTGTGTGTGTGTGTGGGGGGGGGGGGGGGGGGGGGGG